CATGTGTGACCACTGCCAAGTCATGCCCACAGAGAGAGCAGTCTGCGGAGGCACTCCTTCTTAGGTCCAGTATGCCAACATCGTTTAGCCACCGCGCGCTGAGGTTGAACGACTACACGCACATACCTACCTACCATCCAGCTTTTTGCTTGATAATCAAGCAAAAATACTTCCTATCCAACCAGAAAACCGTTTTGTGCTAACCTGTGATGCATTTATGCCCATACATTGTGAATGGACATGCACCATAATTATTCAAGCAAAAATACTCAAAATCGAGCAAATTCGACACATTTCTCAAGCAAAGGTTTATCTGCAGGTTGGTAGGTATGTACACAGTGCGCAAAGTAGACCATCTACGCTCTATAAGGATATGTCGGCTCGATCCAGAGTCCGCGGGCCAGAGAAACTACTGCGCATGCGTATACTAATTGGAGCACGCGCACCACCAATCGCTTCACACCGGCATCTCGGCTGAGCAGTGCACTTCCTGGGATCTTCTGTAAAGCTACAACGAGAGAGAAAAGACGATGGCTGACCCGTATGCACCACCGGTATGTAAACAGCCGTACCGGTAGCTAGCCCGATTACATCCTCTCTCTCTCTCTCTCTCTCTCTCCCAGCCTTACCCTCCAGCGCAGAATCCTGGATACCCGCCTGTCCAGGATCAGGGCTATTCTGGCTACCCTCCAGCTCAACAGGTAGATATCACTCTATAATTTCTCATAATGTACCTTACCGAATAGAAGTTACCAAAACTCTGTCCAAAGACAACGCAGATTGCGAAAATAAGAGATGTAATGATTCTTGAACTCGTACCCTGCTGTATGTATGTACTGGCACTATTATGTACAACTTGCTGATGCCTAACTACCGAAGTTTTCCGACGTGTGCAGCTAAGTATGTATGTTTACCTCGCAAAATGGGAGGTTACACAATGCGGTGATGTGAAGGCTCGAAACCCCCCTCCCCCACATTGAAACACATAATTATAGTATAGGAGACGGTGATGATCCGTGAACATTGTACACTACCATGAAGTGTGCACTGGCTGGGCCGGCCTGTTGTAGGATGTAGGTACTAATTGTACTGTATTTTGTCGCTATTTCTCTGTATGCACAAGTGATCAAACACACATTATGTGCTGATGACCAATTTGGCAACAGAAGTCTTGGGCATTAGCGTTTCCTTAGGAAAGCCCTCAGCCAGTGTCTGGCATTCCCTGTTGAGAAAGCAAGACTCTCACTCCCAGTTTTACTCACGCTCAGTCCCTCTTCACATTGTGTGTGTGGCACTGGAACACAATATCCTCCCCCAGCGCCACATTCCCGTGAGGTATACTTGCAGTAAATTTCCGCAGGCATACTGATCCTACATTATTCCTAAGTGTATAATATACATACACATACATATGAGCACATGGTCTAACATTCTTGTCTTAGCCAGTTCCTGTTACACATCTGGCACATGCTAAGGTCACTACAGAGTTTTACAGCCAAACAATGCAAGGTGTGGCCGTCAATGGTATACTTGGGTTGATGCAAGAGTGACTGACACCAATCATTGCACTATTTAGAGCTGGGAGGTTATAGTGCAATTGTTATTCATGTGTCTTGACACATAAAGTGGACGTTTCTCACAACTAAAGACAGTCTTTACAGCATATACTCTGCCTCATTCCATGAAAATTCAAACTCAGTTGGACTACTACATAATTATGTGGTCTGTGTCAGTAATCTTCTCTGTGCAGTGTATGTATTGGGACATCTGATGCAATCCCATTGGATAGACATCTTGACCAGTACATTTGGAGTGGCAGATGTCCTTTTTTCATGTGGTGCATCATAAGTCCTCTCATAACTCGTCATTGACCAAGCGTCACCTACCTATGGTACAAATCTGCAACTGGTGAATGTGTGTGGCCTATTGTCAAGCAAACATGTGCCCTGAGCCTGAGCCTGCATGTTGTGATATATCCTGTTCCAATGACTGGTCTTACAACCTGTAGTGAACTGTATATAGTAATACTGTAATGAGACCCTGCTTGTGCTAAAACTAAGTCACTACGACGAATACAGTGGATTTTTTTGGTGACCTATGCAAACATGAGTGCAACATAAAGTTTTTTTAGTACGCACTCGCGCGTGAAAACCGTGTCTACTAAGTCTCGTAGTAACTCACGTCGTGTTTACTGAGTGCCCGTGGCGCCGTTTCCTCACACAACCTGCGCACGTGGAAATACAAGTGGGCGTCATTTCGAGTATGCACTAATAAGTTAGGCATCTCGTACGTTGAATGTTAGAAGCCCTCGGGCCCTCCCTCGCGTAGCGTCCTCGCTACGTTTGGAACGCTACAACGCAAGTGCCCTGAGGCTTCTAACGCGCGTAGACTCGATGTCTAACTATTTTTTGGTATATATTGTAGTATGTGCAGTTTGTGTCACATAAGTATCCGACAATCCAGACTTCATTACCACGATCCTTCCAGGACTTGGTTGGTTATGCATACCCATGTCTTAAGGGTTACACTGTACCATGTGTGGGTGGATGTTGCCTTCCTCTCTTCCTATTGACCTACATCCTCTGCCCCTTGATGTTTGATTGAGGTTGAGCTGTACTAAGGCCTCCTATAAGTCAGATCATTAGCGCAATAATAAGTTCTCCATGGTACTGTATGTAATTATATGAAGTTGAAGCCTTTACTGGAGAGGTCTCCCATTGAAGGTCAATGATGACACCCCTAACTGTGGTTTTATGCAACATACTCGGCTCTCATTAGGAGCAAAGACTCGGGACTTTTGGTACCCTATTTCCAAATGTGTCAGCATTACTACGCAGACCATGCAAGCATTGCTCAATGTGTTATTTGTGCGGCTCAAAGAATAACACATACCTGCCCACTTACGTATGAGTGTGTAGAGCACATGGTGTGTTGCTGTTGCTCCAAGTCAGACGGTCATTCTCTCCTTCTCCAGTGGTTAAAAAATATATTCTATTGTTGCTTGTAAAATTCCCCTGAATGTGTGGGAAACTCATGTTTATGTGCCATGCTCTTTATGTCTAACTGTGGTATAAGTCTATTATAAACCCTCTATGAACACCACCCCTAACACTCACTTCCTCCCACCACCAGAGGCTACTGCTTCTTGTGTGTGTAACTGTGGTATATGTACATACATATCTCTATTATAACCCTCTATGAACACCCTCCCTAACACTCACTCCTCCCACCACCAGACCGCTACGACAGTGGTGGTACAGCAGCAGCCTGTGATCCAGCAGTCAGTGGTGTTCCGTGACCGTCCCGTGTTGGTCACCGACAGCAACGGACAGCAGGTATCACTATCATGTGTGTAGCTAAAACGATTTCCTTCAAGCCTTCCCTCCTTAAAGAAAACTGTTGTTAAAGGTTCCCTTAAATGCCGTGTATTTTTATTACTTGTGCAGAAATAGACATATTATCGTGTAAGGCTTCATTATACAACAAATTAGAAGCCCTTAAGAGAAATGTGAAATAATTAAGTGAAATGTGCTTGTGTGAACCAGCTTACTGCGTGGGGCATGCTAAATATGTTTGCTTTAACTTGAGGGAGACTTCCACCATATCGCCACAGGTTGGTGATAACGGTGGAGCCAATAAGCCACACTTTTAATTCTGTGGAGACCTTAGAACTGCTGGTGGTTTAGTGACATGTGGTGCCATATGCTACAGTTATGACTGCCATTAGTTACACCTTGTCACACTTCCTCTAGGACATTCATATTTAGGCCAAGACAAAACATAGTGTAGTAGTTGTCAGACAGTCCCTGGCCACTGCACTCACTTGCACATGAAGTGCTTCTATACCATGGGTGGTTAACCCTCGGCGCGCATGCCCAGCGAGGGTTACGGTACTTGGGTCTGTCTGTGTGTGTGTCTGTCTGTTACTCTTCATCTCACTTCTCGAGTGTTCTTTCGTCTCACAAAGGATACCACCTGCCGAACGGGCAATGAAGGTCAGAAGTTTCGAACGGTTTTCTCTGAAAACGCTCCATTGCAAAGCTAGAGCGAGAAAAAGCCAATATGCAAAAATAAACAACGTCTTACTACGGCATGACCGATTTGCGTGCTCTGCGTATATACCTCGGAGGCACCAGAAGATGCAATGCAGGGCGTGTATCGCCTCTCGCATGCTATCTAGTAGTGTAGTTAGCCCGCGTCAGACTCTGAGCGAGCTGGCAAGAGACCACGAGTAACAGCTAAAACTAAACCCAGCCCCATCAATTAGTGGTACGGCGCATGTGTTTACTTACGTGTGCGCGTCACAGTGCGCCGAGGGTTTGCACTTCAGTGCTTTTGATTCTAAAGGCTGTGAAAGACCTTCCGGTATAATACTCCATTGTTTCATATGCACTTGGACGTTATTGAATATGACACACACACACACACACACATGCACAGGTGACAACTCAGCTACAGTTCAAGTCTGGGGCACTCACCTGGCTCATCTGCTGCGCCATCTGCTGGCTGACTGGGTTCTGGTGTCTTGCTCTCATCCCGTTCTGCATCGACGACACCAAAGATGTCTACCACATCACCCCCACTGATGGGAGAGTGGTCGGAGTTTACAAGAGGCTCTAATCCCCTCCTAATGCTTTATACTGAGACTATATAGACCAAACATTGTATTTTCATTTTTGCACACTTTGGGCCTGAATGTTTTGTACGCATTATTGTTATGCTAACCAAGGTAGCTTGCAGTATAAAGTGCCAGAATACGACAGCTTCGTGCGTAGTGCAAGAGACAAGAAGGCAACCTACGGAGCACCAGTGATCAGCTTTGTTGCTGATCACACTGCATGTGTGTTCTGCCGTATCAGTCGGTGGTGAGCTCCACCATGATTACAGAGGGGAGATGAATGAGTGCACTAGCTCTGTGTAGAATAATGAAACCCGCCCATTTAATTAATAGTAAGCCGCGATTGAGCATGCGCAAAGCCAAAGGGCGCGGTGAGCGCGACGCGACACGAGATCGAGAGTGAGCGACGATCGCCGACGATGACTGATCAACCAGTGAGCCCAGTTGTTTCTCCTACATTATGAGACTTGATATCCCTCCAATATTGTATTGTAGCCACCTTATTATGCGGAGAAAACTGGCCCCTACCCGCCCCAGCCTCAGGCTGCCTACCCTCCTCCACAACAGGTCAAGTCAAGTCCGTCGTATTTCGTAATCAGCTGTCGCAAACTGCTGGCGTGGGCCATGCACGGTACCTCTTGTGGACACTACACGTTCCGTCGGGGAGCGTTTGCATTTCTCTTCTAGACGATTGCATGCAGCTCAGCAATTGTGAAGTGAACAATGTAGATTGTTAGTCACTCATGACTTGTCACATCCGATGAAAACGAGACTAACCTATAGGTACGATGCATCTATACGCACAGGGCAAGAAGACAAGACGAGGCAAACACCACGCAGAGACATAAGCTGTGTGTAGGAGTATTGTGAGAGTACGATGAACTTGTCTGCCAGATCGCGGCGGAAATCAGTGCAAACTGCTAGCAACTCATATTCGCTGCATCATCCTAGTGTACATATATACCCAATGGGAATTCACAGGCAAAACATTCCTTATTGGGTACGCAGTGTGAATAAGCTGGCAGGCAATGTATCTGGCAAAACCGTCATCTCTCTTTCTCTTGCGGATCTGGCATCAAACAAGTCGTATGAAAAAATTAGGAAATAATGTAACCATCGATGGTAGCTTATGTACATAGATGAGTGATAGTGTTCCCAATTAATGTTGGGGTAATTCCAGCCTTTTTGAAGAGTGGGAAGAAGCAGCTAGCGACAATATTCAACGGGAAATAGTCGTAATAAATTAGTATGTCAGTCTCTACTTATCTCCCTTATGTAGCTGTGGAGGTAATCTGCCACGCTAGGCTGTTGTAGTGGAGCCCAGCCCTGTTGTGCTTACTGCACCGCCAGAGGGGTTACCTGCGCCAGCCTGTGGTCGTATATGTGACAGAAACGGAAACAGTACAGCTGTATAGGGTGCTTACATTTTGCTCGGACACCATGACACAACACCGACCCACGGTGTGCAAAGGAAGAGCCCCAGGTTACGACAAATGTAGATGTTTTGGTCTATAGCGCTGTATATACTGCGTTGTGTTGGTGAATTAAAAGTAAGTAACCCTCGGGCGCTATGTCGTCAGAGAGGCGTTGGTCTGTCGTATATTCCGTTCGTACACGTTTTCTGCACCAGGTTTTAAAACCAAAAGGTAAAATGCGCCACCAACGGGCTTAGCGCGACACTGGCTCAGTGTAACATGGCGATTTTCTAAAAGTGCTCGCTTGAGAGTTAGGGGTGATGTGAAAACCCAGTATAACTAGCAAGAGTAATTGTAGCTGAAGAGGGAGTACCTGGGACCCG